CTTTCACCTGGATTCACCTGATCAATCTATGTCATGGAAAGAGCAGGCGTTCTTAATGTGTTGTATACTCAGTGTCCAGTGAGACAGAGGGGAGCTGTTTTGCTCAGATGCTTTCGCAGGTAAGATTTATGTATCTTGCTGTCAATCAAATTATCAATATTTAGAGACCCCCCACAGTTTGACTTTGTTGCATTTAGGGAAGCTCATGTCTTACTCATGTCGCACTCTGCATGTAACCAAAGAATCTGCTTGGAATTAAAGAGTAACATCAAGAAATTGGACACACCTACTCATTCAAGGGTTTTTATTTATTTTTACTATTTCCTACATTGTAGAATAATAGCGAAGACATCAAAACGATGTAATAACACATATGGAATTGTATAGTAATCGAAAAAGTGTTAAACAAATCAAAAAATATGTTATATTTGAGATTCTTCCAAGTAGCCACCCTTTGCCTTGATGACAACTTTTCACACTCTTGGCAATCTTTCAACCAGCTTCACCTGAAATGCTTTTCCAACAGTCTTGAAGGAGTTCCCATACATGCTGAGCACTTGTTGGCTGCTTTTCCTTCACTCTGCGATCCAACTCATCCCAAACCATCTCAATTGGGTTGAGGTTGGGTGATTGTGGAGGCCTGGTCATCTGATGCAGCACTCCATCACTCTCCTTTTCGGTTAAATAGCCCTTACACAGCCTGGAGTCATACTACACTGGCTCTGACGCTCGTCGGATGTGGCAGGGCTTGAAAACTATTACAGACTACAAAGGGAAGCACAGCCGCGAGCTGCCCAGTGACACAAGCCTACCAGACGAGCTAAACCACTTCTATGCTCGCTTCGAGGCAAGCAACACTGAAGCATGCATGAGAGCACCAGCTGTTCCGGACGACTATGTGATCACGCTCTCCGTAGCCGATGTGAGTAAGACTTTTAAGCAGGTCAACATTCACAAGGCCGCAGGGCCAGACGGATTACCAGGACGTGTACTCCGAGCATGTGCTGACCAACTGGCAAGTGTCTTCACTGACATTTTCAACATGTCCCTGACTGAGTCTGTAATACCAACATGTTTCAAGCAGACCACCATAGTCCCCGTGCCCAAGAACTCTAAGATAACCTGCCTAAATGACTACCGACCCGTGGCACTGACGTCTGTAGCCATGAAGTGCTTTGAAAGACTGGTCATGGCTCACATCAACAGCATAATCCCAGAAACCCTAGACCCACTCCAATTTGCATACCGCCCCAACAGATCCACAGATGATGCAATCTCTATCGCACTCCACACTGCCCTTTCCCACCTGGACAAGAGGAACACCTACGTGAGAATGCTATTCATTGACTACAGCTCAGCATTCAACACCATAGTGCCCTCAAAGCTCATCACTAAGCTAAGGATCCTGGGACTAAACACCTCCCTCTGCAACTGGATCCTGGACTTCCTGACGGGCCGCACCCAGGTGGTAAGGGTAGGTAACAACACATCTGCCACACTGATCCTCAACACGGGGGCCCCTCAGGGGTGCGTGCTCAGTCCCCTCCTGTACTCTCTGTTCACCCATGACTGCATGGCCAGGCACGACTCCAACACCATCATTAAGTTTGCCGACGACACAACAGTGGTAGGCCTGATCACCGACAACGATGAGACAGCCTATAGGGAGGAGGTCAGAGATCTGGCCGTGTGGTGCCAGGACAACAACCTCTCCCTCAACGTGACCAAGACAAAGGAGATGATTGTGGACTACAGGAAAAAAAAGAGGACTGAGCACGCCCCCATTCTCATCGACGGGGCTGTAGTGGAACAGGTTGAGAGCTTCAAGTTCCTTGGTGTCCACATCACCAACGAACTATCATGGTCCAAACACACCAAGACAGTCGTGAAGAGGGCACGACAAAGCCTATTCCCCCTCAGGAGACTAAAAAGATTTGGCATGGGTCCTCAGATCCTCAAAAAATTCTACAGCTGCACCATCGAGAGCATCCTGACTGGTTGCATCACCGCCTGGTATGGCAACTGCTTGGCCTCTGACCGCAAGGCACTACAGAGGGTAGTGCGTACGGCCCAGTACATCATTGGGGCAAAGCTCCCTGCCATCCAGGACCTCTATACCAGGCGGTGTCAGAGGAAGGCCCTCAAAATTGTCAAAGACTCCAGTCACCCTAGTCATAGACTGTTCTCTCTGCTACCGCACGGCAAGCGGTACCGGAGTGCCAAGTCTAGGTCCAAAAGACTTCTCAACAGCTTCTACCCCCAAGCCATAAGACTCCTGAACAGCTAATCATGGCTACCCGGACTATTTGCACTGCCCCCCCACCCCATCCTTTTTACGCTGCTGCTACTCTGTTAAGTATTTATGCATAGTCACTTTAACTCTACCCACATGTACATATTACCTCAACTAGCCGGTGCCCCCGCACATTGACTATGCAACGGTACCCCCCTGTATATATAGCCTCCCTACTGTCACTTTATTCTATTGTATATATAGCCTCCCTACTGTCACTTTATTTTTTACTTCTGCTCTTTTTTTTCTCAACACTTTTTTGTTGTTGTTTTATTCTTACTTTTTTTGTTTAAAATAAATGCACTGTTGGTTAAGGGCTGTAAGTAAGCATTTCACTGTAATGTCTGCACCTGTTGTATTCGGCGCATGTGACCAATAAAATTTGATTTGATTTGATTTGGAGGTGTGATGGGTCATTGTCCTGTTGAAAAACAAATGATGGTCCCACTAAGCGCAAACCAGATAGGATGGCGTATCGCTGCAGAATGCTGTGGAAGCCATGCTGGTTAAGTGTGCCTTGAATTCTAAATAAATCACCAACAGTGTCACCAGCAAAGCACCCCCACACCATCACACCTCCTCCTCCATGCTTCATGGTGGGAACCACACATGCGTAGATAATCCGTTCACCTACTCTGCATCTCACAAAATTACACGGCGGTTGGAACCAGAATTCTAAAATTTGGACTCATCAGACCAAAGGACATATTTCCACCGGTATAATGTCCATTGCTCGTGTTTCATGGCCCAAGCAGGTCTCTTCTTCTTATTGGTGTCCTTTAGCAGTGGTTTCTTTGCAGCAATTCGACCATGAAGGCCTGATTCACGCAGTCTCCTCTGAACAGTTGATGTTGAGATGTGTCGGTTACTTGAACTCTGTGTAGCATTTATTTGGGCTGCAATCTGAGGTGCAGTTACCTCTAATGAACTTATCCTCTGCAGCAGAGGTAACTCTTGGTCTTCCTTTCCTGTGGCGGACCAACTCGCTCTCTATCTTTCTCAGAGCAATCTTCTTGACCCTAACCAGTCAGGCTTCAATATGGTTCACTCAACTGAGACTGCTATTCTCTTTGTCACGGAGGCTCTCTGCTCTGCCAAATCTGACTCTCTCTCCTCTGTTCTAATCCTCCCAGATCTGTCCGCTGCCTTTGACACTGTGGACCATCAGATCCTCCTCTCCACCCTCTCAGGGCTGGGCGTCAAAGGCTCAGCACACTCTTGGACATCTCCGACCAGGTGATGTGGAGAGGATCTGTGTCAGCTCCACATACTCTCACTACTGCTGTCTCCCAGGGCTCGGTTCTAGGCCCTCTCCTCCTCTCTATATATCAATTCACTTGGCTCCGTCATATCCTCAGATGGTCTCTCCTATCACTGCTATGTGGATCACACTCAACTACTTTTCTCCTTCCCCCCTTCTGACACCCTGGTGCCTGGCAGATATCTCAGCTTGGAGGTCGGCCCACCACCTCAAACTCAACCTCAACAAGGCCTGCCTGCTCCAAGACCTCTCCATTATGGTTGACAACTCCACCGCATCTCCCTCCCAGAGTGCAAAGAATCTTGGCGTGACCCTGGACAACACCCTAACTTTCTTTGCAAACATCAAAGCATTGACTCGCTCCTGCAGGTTCATGCTCTACAACATCAGTAGGTTACGACCCTACCTCACACAGGAAGTGGTGCAGGTCCTAATCCAGGCACTTGTCATCTCCCGTCTGGACTACTGCAACTCGCTGTTGGCTGGGCTTCCTGCTTGTGCCATCACACCCCTGCAACTTCTCCAAAGTGCTGCAGCCTGCCTGGTGTTCAACTTTCGCTCCTCCGCACACTCCACTGGCTTCCAGTCAAAGCTCGCATCCACTACAAGACCATGGTGCTTGCCTACGGAGTAGCAAGAGGAACTGCCCCTCCCTACCTTAAGGCTATACTCAAATCTTACACCCAAACCTGAGCACTGCGTTCTGCTACCTCTGGTCTCTTGGGCCTCCAATCCCTACCGGAGGGCAGCTCCCCGCTCAGCCCAGTCCAAGCTCTTCTCTGTTCTGGCACCCCAATGGTGGAACCAGCTTTCAAGGACGGCAGGGGCGGGGCCCCACCTCTTATGAGAATCAGCTGGTGATGCCTGTGGGCCAATCCGGGCGGGGCGTTTTGTGAAGTTGAAGCTAGTGGTAATATTTAGTCATTTGTTGAAATGTTTGTAACCCGTTGTTTGCTATTGCTGCACTAAGAAAGAAATGACAGTAAATATTCCCCCCAACAATTCGTAGTTTCCAGTATCACTTTATTGGACAATTCAACTTGTGGTATGTTATATTATATCTTAATCAGTGGCCCATTTAATGTTGTAACATTAGTTTGTCTAAATGTAGTACAGTGAAAGTTCAAATAAAAAGGATTAGACGTACTGTAGTCAAGCTCAGTGATTTTCTTTCTTTATTTTGCCAGAAGTTGCAGAAGGCATATAAGTGTTTTAAAGTCTCCTATGGAGTCTGATACACAGGCTAGTACAAACATCTTAATAATCACTATTTCAGGTAGTCAGGATGAAACATCCACCAATGAACAAATCAACTTAATACAATAAAAGCTTCAGACACTGAAAACACATTGTTTGGCTTTATTTACTTTAAGAAGGATAAGCAGCCTGGCTGTTTTATTTAAATCCTCTTTAGGGACAATTACTCAAGATCAACATAGATTTTTCTTAATTAATAATTGGCTTCTTAAAAATGTTGCAATTCAGGTTACTCTTGGGGGGGTTGATACTCTCCAGTTTGTACACAACATCGCACCAAAGGTTTTTATCATTTTCTTTCTTCAGCACGGCAGTAACTTTGAACACTTCATACGGTGGAATCAACACCTCCTTTTCACGATTCCCCATTTTGGGGAAGGACTTCAGATCAGCGCCAAAACATGTCTTTATCTCAAAGCAGGACTTCTCTCCAAAATGTGTCAAGTTCTTTAGGAAAGAGCTGGAGGCAAAGAAGCCGAATCTGATTATTTTGTTAACTTCACCTCCAAACTCCATGTTGGTTCTCCGGTATGTGGTGTGACAGGTCTTTTGGTTTAGTTTCAGGAGGCGAATGTTGTCAGTCAGCAGGAAATGCAGAGAGTTGAACTGGAAGGAGGTTGTGTACTCTGTTCTATTGGTCCGGACTGCTTGGTTGAACTCTGGGTACATCTTAGTTTGACCTCCTGTGTAAGCACAGATAGCCTTGATATGATCATGTGTAAGTTTGTCTTTAGAATTGTACTTGGACTTGTCCTTTTTGAATCTGTCCTTCACATTTTTTGCACACCCTGCTGCCTTTTTCCAGGATTCATTGAATATCCCTACATTTCTGTTTTCATTTGGAAGATATTCCTTCCGTACCTTGTTGTACATTTGTTCAGTGCAGCCGTTATACATGTCGTCAACAGAGTTAGGGACCATGTCTAAGGGTATGCTGGGGGGGGGGGGGGGGGGGGGGGGGAACAGCAACACGTGTAAAACAGAGGAATGGTTCTATGCATTTAAATGCTCTCTCTCTCTCTCTCTCTCTCTCTCTCTCTCTCTCTCTCTCTCTCTCTCTCTCTCTCTCTCTCTCTCTCTCTCTCTCTCTCTCTCTCTCTCTCTCTCTCAAATTCATAAATGTTGCCAAAGCAAAGTGATACACACAATTATGAAAACAACAGTGACAACAATAAAAGTAATAGCTATAATACTATTTATATATAAGAACTAAAACGAATACATATCTAATCAAAAAAAAGTATACTGTAATACCTCTCTCTCTCTCTCTCTCTCTCTGTCTCTCTGTCTCTGTCACGATCGTCTTCCAAATGAGCGGACCAAGGCGCAGCGTGTTGAGCGAACATGACTTTATTAAAGTTAAAGCAACCACGAAAACAAATAAACAAATGACGATACGTGAAGTCCACAGTGACAAAGACTGATACGGAACAAAAACCCACAACCCCAAGGTGAACACACACAGTTTAAATATGGCTCCCAATCAGAGATAACGAGCCGACAGCTGACACTCGTTACCACTGATTGGGAGTCACATGAACAACAAAGACAACACACCCAAAACACAACAAAACGAACACACCCTGGCTCAACATACAAAGTCCCGGAGCCAGAGCGTGACAGTACCCCCCCCTAAAGGCGCGGACTGCGACCGCGCCTCAATACGGGCTAAACAAGGGAGGGCTGGGCGGGCATACCTCCTCGGCGGTGGCTCTGGCTCCGGCCTTGATCCCCACCTCCTCTGCAACCCCCCAAAGTACCCCTGGTCCTGTCTAGCCCCGCTGACCGGAGCCGGACTGACGACACGCGCCCCTGGCTTGGTGCGTGGAGGACGAACGGGCCTTACCAGGCTGACGACGCGCACCACTGCCTTGGCGCGGGGAGCAGGAATGGGCCCGACCGGGCTGACGAAGCGCACCCTTGACTTGGTGCGGAGAGCGGGACCGGGCCGGACAGGGCTGACGAAACGCACCACAGACTTGGTGCTGGGAGCAGGAACGGGCCGGACAGGGCCGACGAAACGCACCCTAGGCTTGATGCGTGGAGCCGGAACGGGCCTCCCCAGGCTGACGACTCGCATCCCTGGCTTGGTGCGAGTAGCAGGAGTGGGCTGGATCAGGCTGACGCCTCGCACCCTTGGCTTGGTGCGAGTGGCAGGAACAGGCCGGACCGGGCTGGCGACGCGCACCGTAGGTTTGGTGCGAGTGGCAGGAACAGGCCGGGTCGGGCTGGCGACGCGCACCGTAGGTTTGGTGCGGGTGGCAGGAACAGGCCGGACCGGGCTGGCGACGCGCACCGTAGGTTTGGTGCGAGTGGCAGGAACAGGCCGGGTCGGGCTGGCGACGCGCACCGTAGACTTGGTGCGGGTGGCAGGAACAGGCCGGACCGGGCTGGCGACGCGCACCGTAGGTTTGGTGCGAGTGGCAGGAACAGGCCGGGTCGGGCTGGCGACGCACACCGTAGGTTTAGTGCGTGGAGCAGGAACCGGCCGGGCTGGGCTGGCGACGCACACCGTAGGCTTCGTACGTGGAGCAGGGACAGGCCGGGCTGGGCTGGCGACGCACACCGTAGGCTTAGTGCGTGGAGCAGGAACAGGCCGGACAGGGCTGGCGACGCACACCGTAGGTTTTGTGCGTGGAGCAGGAACAGGCCGGACTGGGCTGGCGACGCACACCGTAGGCTTCGTACGTGGAGCAGGAACCGGCCGGGCTGGGCTGGCGACGCACACCGTAGGTTCTGTGCGTGGAGCAGGAACAGGCCGGGCTGGGCTGGCGACGCACACCGTAGGCTTCGTACGTGGAGCAGGGACAGGCCGGGCTGGGCTGGCGACGCACACCGTAGGCTTAGTGCGTGGAGCAGGAACAGGCCGGACAGGGCTGGCGACGCACACCGTAGGTTTTGTGCGTGGAGCAGGAACAGGCCGGACTGGGCTGGCGACGCACACCGTAGGCTTCGTACGTGGAGCAGGAACAGGCCGGGCCGGACCGGCGACGCACACCGTAGGCTTGATGCGAGAAGCAGGAACAGGCCGGGCTGGGCTGGCGACGTACACCGTGGGCTTGATGCGTGGAGTAGGAACAGGCCGGTCCGTACTGGGAACACACACCACTGGCCTTAACCGGGGATCAGGAACGGGCCGGACCGGACTGGTAACACACCTCAGTCTCTCACGCCGTGCCTCAACTGCTTCCCTCCCTCTACTCGCCAATGGCTCCCGTAATCCGGTAGCCTTCTCTCCACGTCTCCCTGTGGCAGCCTCCTGCTGCCCAGCCGCCCAAGCCATGTGCCCCCCCCAAAAAACTTTTTGGGGTTGCCTCTCGTCCCTCCGACGATGGCCCTGCTGACGCCGTTGCTCCTCTCTCGCCAGGGCCTTGATCCTCCCCCAAGGTCCCTTGCCCCCGAGCATGTCCTCCCAGGACCACGATTTGCCCACCTGGGCCATCGCCAGCCTCTCGATCTCCTTACCCGGCGCTTCCTCCCATGTCCAGTCTCCTTGCTCCTGGACACGCTGCTTGGTCCTTCTTTGGTGGGTTTTTCTGTCACGATCGTCTTCCAAATGAGCGGACCAAGGCGCAGCGTGTTGATCGAACATGACTTTATTAAAGTTAAAGCAACCACGAAAACAAATAAACAAATAACGATACGTGAAGTCCACAGTGACAAAGACTGATACGGAACAAAAACCCACAACCCCAAGGTGAACACACACAGTTTAAATATGGCTCCCAATCAGAGATAACGAGCCGACAGCTGACACTCGTTACCACTGATTGGGAGTCACATGAACAACAAAGACAACACACCCAAAACACAACAAAACGAACACACCCTGGCTCAACATACAAAGTCCCGGAGCCAGAGCGTGACAGTCTCTCTGTCTCTCTGTCTCTCTGTCTCTCTGTCTCTCTCTCTGTCTCTCTCTCTCTCTCTCTCAAAATTGTGTAATATCTTACCATCTTGGAGTCCACACCCAAAGTCCAAGCCTGGATGAAATACATCACAGTAAAGCTTAGGATCTTGTGTCTTGCCATGATGTCAAAATATGTTGGTCCAATGGCAACTTGTAATGGAGATGAATTGTCTTTTAAGATACAGAATCAGCATTGAAATGTTCAGCTTTCAGGGGGCCTTGTTATATCAGTGCTCTTGTGGTTATTTTCACAGTCCCTCCTCTCTTGCTGAGAACAGGCACCTACAGATACAAGTACCCCTCAAACCACAAACCCCTTAGCACAGTACACACACACACGCACACACACACACAGGTAGCCCTTTAGCACAGTACACACACACACACACACACACACACACACACACACACACACACACACACACACACACACACACACACACACACACACACACACACACACACACACACACACACACACACACACACACACACACACACACATACCCACACAGGTAGCCTAGTGTTTAAGAGCGTTGGGCTGTAAACGAAAGGTTGCTGGTTTGACTCCTGAGCCGGTGAAGGTGGAAAATCTGCCGTTTCTCTGCTTGAGAAGTTAAACCCCAACAACCACTGCTCCCTGATGTTGATTAAGGTAGCCCCCTGCACCTCTCTGATTCAGAAGGGTTGGGTTAAATGTGGAACACACATTTTGGTTGAATGCATTCAGTTGTGAAACTGACTAGGTATCCCCCATTCCCTTCACATACACAACCACATACAGTGTGGTGCCTAGTTGGGACAAAATCCTGCAGTACCTGATGCGCTCCAGAAATAGGGTTGATTACCTCTGGTCAAGTCTAAGCTTTGTCTGCCAATCATTCCTTTAGCTGGTTGAGGTAAACACTGCCCTCTTTTGCCCAGAATGCACCATGTCAAGACTGAAGGCCTCTGGGTACATTAGTGTGTGTGTTCGCTATTCTGTTGTCTCTCATGCCAATGTCCAGGTTATGATTTAGGCAGTATTCTAATACTACTGGTTATGGTTGTTACCTTTACTTTGTTATGACTGAGATGTGAGAGGACTGGTAGGTTGATAGTGTTCAATTCCTTTGTTATGACTGAGATGTGAGAGGACTGGTAGGTTGATAGAGTTCCATCATATTGCGTTCAAATGGTGAGGTCTTTCAGATATGTGGTGGTTACAAATGATAGGAGACAAGGAAAGGAGACAAGGAAAGGAAGGAAACAGATTGAGACTATGGCCATATTGTTTGGTAACATAGGGCCACTGACTGTGGAGTTTATGATGGAGTTCAGCTACTGTTTAGGTAGCACCTAATCTAACAGTTATATATGTTTATACAACGGCTGGGTATAATCCTGAATGCTGATTGGTTAAAAGCGCATTCCAGCCGGTGTCTATTCCACAAGTTACCACCGACTAAATCTATGATGTTAAAATGACTCTTTACTCTGTTCCGTCTGACTGCTCTATCCACTGTCTCGTCTGCCCAGGCAGGAAGTTATAAACTTAAGATATTCATGATCATTTCCATGTCTTAGAGATATTGGGTTTTATAGTAGTGTCAAAGCAACAGTTAGTGTCAAAGTAATCTGTGGATAGACAGTAGATGTTATGACAGTTCACTGCCACCCTGTGGCCTCTGTTGTCTCTGCTAGTCAACACGATGGCTTCTGAACGCTTCCTCATTACCAAGTCCCGCCCCCTCTCTCCTCCAACCCCACTCATGACATTGGCAACGTTCCAGGCTGACTACATTGACGTCGCCTGCCAGATCTCACAACGCCTGGATTGGTGTTTAACATATCAGTTAACCAAATCATGTGGTATAGTAATCTAATGCCCATTGGTTGCTGTGTGCAGCCTGACTGCAATATAGTCTGCCTTGAACGAGACCGTTCTCTCCTCGTTGTGGTTGATAGACTTTGCAGTGCTGAGCTCTGAACTCACAGACACAGGAAACTACTAACCCTGCCACTGCTCTCCCTCGCTCGCTCCCTCCCTCCCTCCCTCCCTCCCTCCCTCCCTCCCTCACTCTCTCCCTCCCTCCCTCCCTCCCTCCCTCCCTCCCTCCCTCCCTCCCTCCCTCACTCACTCACTCACTCACTCACTCACTCACTCACTCACTCACTCACTCACTCACTCACTCACTCACTCACTCTCTCCCTCCCTCCCTCCCTCCCTCCCTCCCTCCCTCTGACAGCCACATCTTCTCTCTCTGGTTAGCCAGCCTACTTGTTACTCTTTGGCCTCCAGTTTATTTCAAAGCCATGACTAAGTGTTACTGCTCTGTAAAACGATGTCAAATGATTCATTTGAAAGTTATCAGTAACATAATGGTGAATATAAACACAATATTGATGGGGTGGAGGTTATCAGTAACATAATGGTGAATATTAATTTATTAACTTTTATTAACTCATAAAATGTTCAAGACATTACGTCAACAAATGATAATACGATGTGATGAGGAAAACACTAACCATTACAGGTTAAACTATTTATAACTGGATCATTATAACAGAAAGAAGGAAAGTTCAGATTACTTCATGGTACATTGGTGGGGGGTTGTGGAATAATCAGTGATATACAGGAATGATTAACATAATAAAGAGCATTAAGTAGCCTATAGCTGATGCTCTGCTGAATGAAGAAAAGCTGCTTCTCAGGATTGATTTTGTTCCATTTTGCAACTCCAATGCTCACTACTGTGTAGACAACTTCACACCACAGCTTATTTTAATTTTTTTGTCGCAGAACCAAGTATCCTAATTTGAATAGAATAGGACAGAATAGAATAAAATAGAAAATCTTAATTGTCCATTCAAATATTTCATAAAATATATCACATTAGGAAAATATGGAATGATACCAGTCACCAGTCAGTCATCAGGGTGACTTCACTCATAACCTCTGACTGCTGTTTAGCTCTTTCCTAGCCTGAGTCCCAGATCTGTTTGTGCTGTCTTGCTAACTCGAGGTGTCAAAAAAGAAAATAATAATCACCCCTCTCCCCCACATAAAAAATATTTTCACATGACCCTCCCCTTGTACTCTCAAAAAATGTGCAGACCCTCCCACTATTAAAATTTACAACAACAAAATGTATTACCACCATAAATAACAATAACTGTAGCAATTTGTGTAAAAATATATATACACTTCCGGTCAAAAGTTTTAGAACACCTACTCATTCAAGGGTTTTTCTTTATTTTTAATAGTGAAGCCATCAAAACTATGAAATAACACATAGTCCATCATTACTTTGCTAAGCGCTATGATGAAACTGGCTCTCATGAGGACCGCCACAGGAATGGAAGACCAAGAGTTACCTCTTTTGCAGAGGATAAGTTCATTAGAGTTAACAGCTTCAGAAATTGCAGCCCAAATAAATGCTTCACAGAGTTCAAGTAACAGACACATCTCAACATCAACTGTTCAGAGGAGACTGTGTGAATCAGGCCTTCATGGTCGAATTGCTGCATCAAGTTTATTTCGAAGCCATTAGTTTAATTTATTTCTACAAATATTTAGAAATAGTTTAATCTTAGTTTAAATCTAAATATCTTTGTAGCCACTTCTAATTATACCTGAGAACAAACTAATTTTCTTAAAGTGAGCTGAAATTAATATATTTATAACAGATGTGCAGGTTGTGGATAAATAGAACAGGAGATGTAATAATACTAAATGCTTTTCTTTATTGGTTTTAACAAAAGCTGCAATGCACATGACAACAAATGCCAATTCACTGGCAGAAGAAATGTTAACAATTCAAGCAAACAATGTGGGTAACATTTACAACAGTACAGATGAATGTAAACAAACAGAGTGTACATGCTAACAAATGTCAACAAATCACAAATTACAATTCGATTCAATGTCAACAAATTACTACACAATATTAAGAAAAATAACCTTGATCTTAATCTGAGCAAGCAATGCGGGTTAAAAAGTATTTAACAGGATCATTACAGCTGAAAGAAGGAAAGATACATTTGTTTCAGATTACTTAATTGTACATTGGTGGGGGAATGATCAGTGATATACAGTAATTATCAACATAATATAGAGCGTTATGTAGCCTTTTCCTGATGCGCGGTTGAATGCAGAAAAGCTGCTTCTCATGTTTGATTTTGCTCCATTTTGCAACTTGCAATTCAAGTCACTCTGAACTCCAGTGTTCACTAGTGTGTAGACGACTTCACACCACAAGTTATTCTCTGGTGACTTCGTCTGGATGTTGGTCACTGTGAATACCTCATAGGGAGGAATTAAGACTTCTCTCTCTCCAGTAAATACAGAGTAATATGATATGTCAGCTCCAAGACATGTGGAGATCTCAAAGCAGGACGTCGCTCCAAATGAATCTCTGCCTATATCCTTATCTACACTGCTCGAGGCGAAGGTGCCAAAACGGATCTTTTTGTTGACAACCTCCTGATCAAAATAATCTTTGGTTCTACGGTAGGTGGTCATACATGCTGTTTGACTTCGTTTGAGCATTTGAATGGCCTCAGTTAGATAGAAGTGGAGGGAATGGTACTGGAATGATGTTGTCCCATAATTAGATCTACCATCTCTAACTTGTATGTTGAAGTCCCGGTAGATATTGTTCGTTTTATCAGTGTACACTTTTATAGCCATGAAATGTTCTTTTTTCAGTTTATGGATAGATGGTGTGGCCTTTTGTCCTGCTTCGTTCCAGGCATTATTGAAGTCTGAATTTATTTTTTTCTCACGTGGGAGGTAGACTGTGTTCACCTCATTGTGCATCTTGTTACTGCAGCCAACGTATTGATCATCAATAGAGTTAGGGGCCATATCCAGTGGGAAAGGCTTCTGTAAAAGTAAATTTTAGTTTCAATACATTACTTCATAATACTAACCAGTTCTCTTTTTCTCCCATTGAGAACAATGTCTGCTAACTCTTTTGTGTATTAGATTTGGGTCGTTCCATAAATAAAGTGCCTTTTATGTCCTTGTAACATTGTGTGTACATTTAGATAAAACACTCAATTTAACAGTTGAATCAAATACAGCTACACACTAACTAAACAGATTATATTTTTTAAATTCCCATTCTCTATCACTCACAACAAGCTTCCATTTCCACTGTCACAAGCGGAGTTATGGCTGATTTCAAATGAAATCGTCCACCATGTTACGGGCCACCCTGTTACTTTAATTGTCACCTTTTATAGTAATTTTCCTTACTTTAACCTCTGGAGATGGGAAAACACATTGTTTTTTCTTTAAGTTGAACATGTGTTCTTTACGACAGAATGTTAAAATTAGGTGAAATAAATAGTTATTTTTCACTGAATTACCCAAAAGGCCCTCTATTCATGGAACCACCCTTTTATGTATATACTCTCATATCAGATATACTCAACAGATAGTACAGGAACTTGGGCTTTTGAAGATAATATCAACCAGACCTGGGTTTAAAATAACAAACAAAAAATAACTTCAAATATTTTATCTGAGCCATTTTGAGCCTGCCTGTCTCAATAAACCAATAGAAATGTCCCATCTGGTACTTCAGGCAAACTCAAGAAAACACTCAAAGTATTTTAAATTATTTTTCAAGTATTTAAACCCATGTTTGATGTCAATATAGATGATCAAACTATGAAGCTTTACAGATCACATAATGAATTAAGAATGAAAACTATACGATGCAGTAAACAATATTCCACTATAGTTTGTGCCGACAATTCGGGAACCCCTAGTCTTTAGGGGCAGACAATAATGACAGTTGCATATGGATAAAATAAAAATAATCTCACCAGTCCATAGTAAAGACCCAGGGTCAACGCCAATGCTTCCGGCACAAAAACAATAATAATTACGACTACACACTTGTTCACCATATCTTAAGATGTGTCGTGAATGATCCTAGTCAGTATAACCTGGTGACTCCTCCAGTCTCTCGTCGGAGCAATGGTAACACAGACAAGGAAGATGAAGAAGAAGAAACAGAAGAACAGGATGAGGCCTCAACCACAGGAAGCAGCAAAATCCAGACAGAGACAGAGAGGATATGACGAGTGTGGGTAGACTGTATGCAGATTCCTCTATTGTTCAGCTTCAGGACTTGTGTTTTGCAGACTGTCTGCTAAGATCTAATATACCTGGTCAGAGATCTGGCTTTACAAGGAGACATGACCACAAACCCTCTTCCCACACTGAAGCACCAAGATAATATGTGAACAAAGTCATGCAGATCTTCATGTCTGCACACGTAGACACGCATAAGGATGTACACAGCTCTACCTTGGTTCACCACAGGGCCATTTCCAACTAAAAGTGATGACAAGCAGATATGACCACAAACCATGTTCCCACACTGAAGCACCAAGATAATATGTGAACAAAGTCATGCAGATCTTCATGTCTGCACACGTAAACACGCATGAGGATGTACACAGCTCTACCTTGGTTCACCACAGGGCCATTTCCAACTAAAAGTGATGCTGCTGAGAAAGACTTAACCTTCCACCTTTCTGTCTTTCTCACGTTCCCTTCGACCCCAAGTCAACCACTGCACCGTGTGGTCAGTCAGTTGTCATGGTCACTGTCTCTCAAGTTGTGTGACTGGTAATGACGTCACTGAGTTCCAGCCATTTCTTGATTAAGTTTTCTATTTTGTGGCAGAATCAAGTATCCTATTTTGAATAGAATAGAATAAAATAGAAAATCTTAATTGTTAAAGTAGTTATAGTAGTGACAAAGCAACAGTTAGTGTCAAAGTAACCAGTGGATAGACAGTAGATGTTATGACAGTTCACTGCCACCCTATGGCTTCTGTTGTCTCTGCTAGTCAACACGATGGCTGCTGAACGCTTCCTTCATTACCAAGTCTGTCCTCATCTCTCATCCAACCCCAATCATCAGGTTGGCCACATTCCAGGCTGACTACATTGAAGTCGCCTTCCAGATCTCACAACTCCTGGACAGGTGTTTAACATATCAGTTAACCGCATCATATGATAGAGCAATATGATGCCCATTGGTTGTTGTGTGCAGCCTGACTGCAATATAGTTGGCCTGGAATGAGACCACTCTCTCCTCATTGTAGTTGATAGATTGAGCTGTACTGAGTTCTGACCTTAAAGACACAGGAAACTACTAAACATGCTCCTGCTCTCCCTCCCTCCCTCCCTCCCTCCCTCCCTCCCTCCCTCCCTCCCTCCCTCCCTCCCTCCCTCCCTCCCTCCCTCCCTCCCTCTGACAGCCACATCTTCTCCCTCTGGTTAGCCAGCCTACTTGTTACTATTTGGCCTCAAGTTTATTTCAAAGCCATGACTAAGTGTTACTTCTCTGTAAAACTATATGTATTGTTTTCTAATTATTGTTTTGTTTGAAATTATAGTTTTTCACCATTTTCTCCCAAGTTGCTAGTTACGACCTTGTCTCATCACTGCAACTCCTCAATGGGTTCGGGAGAGGCAAAGGTCGAGACATGCATCCCCCGAAACATGACCCGCCTAGCCACTTACTTCTTAACACACTGCTTGCTTAACCCGGAAGTCAACCTCACCAATGTGTCGGAGGAAACACCATTCGACTGACATCCGAAGTCAGGTTGCAGGGCCCGACCCGCCACAAGGAGTCGCTAGAGTGTGATGAGCCAGGGAAAGCCCCCTCCGGATCAAACCCCAGGCTGTAGTGGCGCCTCAGCACTGTGATGCCACAGACCGTTGCGGTACTCGAGACTCCTCTAATGATTTATTTGAAAGTCAACAATATGTTTTTCTGTATTTGCTACCTGCATGTAAATGGAATGACAATGTCGATCACATTAGCCATATAGCTAACTAGGTGAGGTAGTTGCTAGAGGCTGGTTCAGCTAATGAAGTGAAGTTGTGAAGTTGCTTTTAATGAGATGGAATATTATCCTCTGTAGGTTTATACCAGATTTACACATAGTGGATCAAGAGGACATGAGATGTCATTATAATGCTTAATGCTTTTCTTTGTTGGTTTCAATACAAGTTCCATTTCAACAAATCACAAATTACGATTCTATTCAATGTCAACAAATTGCAATACAATATCAAGAAATATAACCTTGATCTGAATCTGAGCAAGCAATGTGGGTTAAACAGTTTTTAACAGGATCATTACAACTGAAAGAAGGAACGTGACCTTTTTGTTTTTACAGATTACTTAATTGTACATTAGTGGGGGAATGATCAGTGATATACAGTAATTATCAACATAATATAGAGCGTTATGTAGCCTTTTCCTGATGTGCGGTTGAATGCAGAAAAGCTGCTTCTCATGTTTGATTTTGCTCCATTTTGCAACTTGCACTTCAAGTCACTCTGAACTCCAGTGTTCACTAGTGTGTAGACGACTTCACACCACAAGTTATTCTCTTGTGACTTCGTCTGGATGTGAATACCTCATAGGGAGGAATTAAGACTTCTCTCTCTCCAGTAAATACAGAGTAATATGATATGTCAGCTCCAAAATGTGGAGATCTCAAAGCAGGACGTCGTTCCAAATGAATCTCTGCCTATTTTCAGGTCTGGAGTGCTCGAGGCGAAGCTGCCGAAACAGATAATTTTGTTAATAACGTTTTGATCAAAATAAACGTTGGTTCTACGGTAGGTGGTCATACATGTTGTTTGACTTCGTTTGAGCATTTGAATGGCCTCAGTTAGATAGAAGTGCAGGGAATGGTACTGGAATGATGTTGTCCCATAATTAGATCTACCATCTCTAACTTGTCTGTTGAAGTCCAGGTAGATATTGGGCTTTTCATTTGTGTACACATATATAGCCATGGAATGTTATTTTTTCAGTTCATGGATAGATGGTTTGGCCTTTTGTCCTGCTTTGTTCAGGGCATTATTGAAGTCTGAATTTGTATTTTTCTCACGTGGGAGGTAGACTGTGTTCACCTCATTGTGCATGTAGTTAGATAGCCTGGTGGGTAAGAGCGTTGGGACAGTAACCGAAAGGTAGCTGGGTCAAATCCACTCTAACCACAAGGCCACTGACTTGTTTTTAGGTGTAATAGCCATTCAATAGAGCTTGTGTCAGAAAGCTCACATTCCACACTCAACGGTTTGCATTACTCCACCACCTTATAAGGCAGGGGTCAGCAACCCTGTTCCTGGAGTGCCGCAGGGTGTTGCCCCAACTAGGCTCCACACCAGACCAACTGAGCTAAATGATCAGTTCAGTGATTGCCTAAGTTCAACACACCTGGTCTTCCAGGTTGGTTAAATCAAAAACATCATGTGTCTATGGAACTCCAGGACCAGGGTTGCCTGCCTCTTTTATAAGGTATCTCTACAGAGATAAACAGTCCCATTAACAGACATACACTTCATGACCCCAAACTCTCCCACTGCACTGTGTGGTCACTGGTCAGTCATGATTACGGACACTCAGGTTGCAACAAAGTTATGGATGACCACTGGTTGCTATTTGGCAAATGTCCAGGAAAAGGTGTGTTTAGTTTAAACAGAACCACATTTCTGAAAATGTTTGTGGCTCTTTGAGGATGTGTGACCATCATCTTCTTCATTCAGTTACAATGATCTTAGTGGTGAATTTACCAGAACTGGAGCCCGATATAGTTTTGTAGAAGACTTCAGGTTTCCTGTCTGCAGACTGTCTGAAAAGATCTACTGATACTTGGTCAGAGAGCTGGCTCTATAGGTTAATAACAGATCTACAGTGTATAAAGATGACATGAGATGTAATCATTCTCAATGCTTTTCTTTATTGCTTTCAACAAAAGCTGCAGGGCAAATTTATAGGCTCCTTTATTTCAATATTTTAAAACAATGACAATGTCAAGAAAGAAAAACATACATTTACAAGCAAAGCAAGATTTTCTTAACAGGATCATTACAACTAAGATATGGAAAGTGGTTTAGATTCCTCATCATTGTAGTAATTGCATCATTGTTTCTGGATGGAATGATTAGTGATATTTAGTAGTTATCAACACAATAAAGAGCATTATGTAGCCTGTATCTGATGCTCTGATTAATGTATCAAAGCTTCTTCTCGGGTTTGGATCTGCTCCATTGTAAACCCATCTGCAGTTCATGTTGCTCTTAGATATTCCAGTGCTCTTCAGTGTATAAATGACATCACTGTCACGATCGTCGAAGGAGGAGGACCAAGGCGCAACGTGGAATGCGAACATATTTATTAATTGATGATCAAACGAACAATACAACAAAACGAAAACGTGACGTCCCTGGTTACATTCACAACCAACACGGAACAAGAAACCACACCAAATGAATGCCTAACGGCTACTTAAGTATGGCTCCCAATCAGAGACAACGAGCTACAGCCGTCTCTGATTGGGAGCCACCCTGGCCAACATAGAAATACTCACACCCTGGCTCAACATACTAGAGTCCCCAGAGCCAGGGCGTGACTCCGACCGCGCCAACCAAATACCACAGGGGAGGGACCGGGTGGGCACTCCGCCTTGGCGGCGGATCCGGCTCCGGGCATGATCCCCACTCCCTCTCTAACCCCCCAAAGTACCCCTGGTCCGGTCTGGCCCTGCTGACCGGAGCTGGACTGCACACTGGTGGAGCGGATTGCTCTAGCTCCGGCGTGAAGCAGCTGACCCGTGCCGAACCAGGCACCGGTGGCACAGGCACGGGCTGTGCCGGACTGACGACGCACACCACTGGCTTGGTGTGGGGAGCAGGAACAGGCCGGGCCGGGCTGGCGACGCGCACCATTGGCTTGGTGCGGGGAGCAGGAACAGGCCGGACCGGGCTGACGACGCGCACCATTGGCTTGGTGCGGGGAGCAGGGACGGGCCGAACCGGGCTGGCGACGCACACCACAGGCTCGGTGCGAGGGACAGGAACAGGCCGGACCGTACTGGGGACACACACCACTGGCCCTACGTGGGGATCAGGAACGGGCCGGACCGGACTGGTAACACACCCCAGTACCTCTCGCCGTGCCTCTACACTTTCCTCCCCTTTTGTGACCAGTGGCCACCGTAACCTGGCGGCCTCCTCTACTAACCGCTCCATCCCCTGCTGCCCCGTCGTCCACGGCGTGAGCCCCACGCTAAAAAATTTCTGGGCGTCTCTCCTACCCGTGGACCAGGTCTCCATGGTTCTCGCCCAACTCTCGCTCTTCTGCTTCCAAATCCTCTCTGGCGTTGGCTCCTGGACACGCTGCTTGGTCCAGTTATGGTGGTCTCTTCTGTCCGTTCGTCGAAGGAGGAGGACCAAGGCGCAGCGTGGAATGCGAACATATTTATTAATTGATGATCACACGAACAATACAACAAAACGAAAACGTGACGTCCCTGGTTACATTCACAACCAACACGGAACAAGAAACCACACCAAATGAATGCCTAACGGCTACTTAAGTATGGCTCCCAATCAGAGACAACGAGCTACAGCCGTCTCTGATTGGGATTCACCCTGGCCAACATAGAAATACAACAACTAGAACAAACACAAATGAAAACTCACACCCTGGCTCAACATACTAGAGTCCCCAGAGCCAGGGCGTGACAATCACACCACATGTTTGTCTGGACATCAGTGACTCTAAAGACCTCATAGGATGGGATTAAAACCTCACTCTCATTGATATAGGCAGAGTAATATGTCAGGTTAGCACCAACACCTATGTTGATCTCAAAGCAGGACGTGTTGCAAAAATATGTAATGACTTATTTAAAGAACTGGAGGCAAAGAATCCGAAACGGATCTCTTTGTTTAGAACATTCCGATCAAAATACACCTTGGTTCTACGGTAGGTGGTCCTACATGTTGTTTGACTTTGTTTGAGAATCTGAACGGCGTCAGTTAGATAGAAGTGCAGGGAATGGTACTGGAGTGATGTTCCATACCCATATCTTCCTTCTCTAACTGCTTTGTTGAGGTTAGGGTTTGTTATATGTATACAAATACAGTTGAAGTCGGAAGTTAACATACACTTAGGTTGGAGTCATTAAAACTCGTTTTTCAACCACGCCACAAATTTCTTGTAGAATAATAGTGAAGACATCAAAACTATGAAATAACTCGTATGGAATCATGTAGTAACCAAAAAAGTGTTAAACAAATCAACGTATGTTTTATATTTGAGATTCTTCAAATAGCCACCCTTTGCCTTGATGACAGATTTGCACAGTCTTGGCATTCTCTCAACCAGCTTCATGAGGTAGTCACCTGGAATGCATTTCAATTAACAGGTGTGCCTTGCTAAAAGTTAATCTGTGGAATTTCTTTCCATCTTTGATTTTTGGTTCCAACCGCCGTGTCTTTGTGAGATGCAGACTAGGTGAACGGATTATCTCAGCATGTGTGGTTCCCACCGTGAAGCATGAAGGAGGAGGTGTGATGGTGTGGGGGTGCTTTGCTGGTGATACTGTCGGTGATTTATTTATAATACAATAATATAATATGCCATTTAGCAGACGCTTTTATCCAAAGCGACTTACAGTCGTGCGTGCATACATATTTTTGTGTATGGGTGGTCCCGGGGATTGAACCCACTACCTTGGCGTTACAAGCGCCGTGCTCTACCAGCTGAGCTACAGAGGACCACTATTTAAAATTCACTTAACCAGCATGACTACCACAGCATTCTGCAGCGAGAGGCCATCCCTTCTTGTTTGCGCTTAGTGGGACTATCATTTGTTTTTAAACAGGACAATGACCCAACACACCTCCAGGCTGTGTAAGGGCTATTTGACGAAGAAGGAGAGTGATGGAGTGCTGCATCAGATAACCTGGCCTCCACAATTACCCGACCTCAACCCAATTGAGATGGTTTGGGATGAGTTGGACTGCAGAGTGAAGGAAAAGCAGCCAACAAGTGCTCAAAATATGTTGGAACTCCTTCAAGACTGTAGGAAAAGCATTCCAGGTGAAGCTGGTTGAGAAAATGCCAAGAGTGTGCAAAGTTGTCATCAAGTCAAAGGGTGGCTACAAAGAAGAATCTGAAATCTAAAATATATTTTGATTTGTTTAACACTTTTTTGGTTACTACATGATTCCATATGTGTTAATTCATAGTTTTGATGTCTTCACTATTATTCTACAATGTAGAACATAGTAAAAATAAGAAAAACCCTGGAATGAGTTGGTGTGTGCAAATGTTTGTCCAGTACTGTACATACAAACAAACGCACACACACACACACACACACACACACACACACACACACACACACACACACACACACACACACACACACACACACACACACATACAAACGCACACACACACACACACATACAAACGCACACACACACACACACACACACACACACACACACACACACACACACACACACACACACACACACACACATGCATGCAGTAAACACCAAGTGACTTCTGAGAGTTGTTTGTTCACACTTCTTTCATACTGATCTATGTGAGAACATGACTAACATCATCAACACCACTGCTGATCTCATCATCATCATCCTTCCCCTCTAATCAGGGACTGATTCAGGCCTTGAATACTAAAAGCCAAAATACCACTTGAATCAATCAATCACCCAGAATAAAGGAATACAGCACTACAGTGAAGCTTGAGGCCCCCAGTCCAGGGTTTCCCAACCCTCTCCTCAGGGACCACCAGACGTTTCACATTTTAGTTTTAGCCCTAATCTGACACACCTGACTCAGTCTACTAACCATCAACCCCTTGACTAATTGATGCAGGTGTTCCTGTCTGGTGGTCCCTGAGGAGAGGGTTGTCTGGTGGTCCCTGAGGAGAGGGTTGTCTGGTGGTCCCTGAGGAGAGGGTTGTCTGGTGGTCCCTGAGGAGAGGGTTGTCTGGTGGTCCCTGAGGAGAGGGTTGTCTGGTGGTCCCTGAGGAGAGGGTTGTCTGGTGGTCCCTGAGGAGAGGGACCACCAGACATGCCCTATAGGCACTCGTTCCTGGAGCGCCGCAGGAACTTCTTGTTTTAAATTTAACCGACCTGGAAGACCAGGTGTGTTGAATTTAGGCAATCACTGAACTGATCCCTACTGTGTGAGACTGGATTTGAATAACCCTAGTCTAAACTTTCTCTGTCAATTATTACTTTAGCTGGTTAATTGAAATGCTGCCCTCTGCTGGTAAATGTGAAGAATGCTCCATGTCACTACAGCCTGCCTAGACCAAAGCATCTGTCAATCATCTTCAACCCTCTACTTAAAAAAACAGATAAAGCAACACCTCACGGCACAACGCCTCTCCCCTATTTGACCTAGATAGTTTGTGTGTATGTATTGATATGTAGGCTACGTGTGCCTTAAACATTTTTTTTATGTAGTTCTGTCCATGAGCTGTTCTTGTCTATTAATGTTCTGTATTATGTCATGTTTCATGTTTTGTGTTGACCCCAGGAAGAGAAGCTGCTGCTATAGCAACAGCTAATGGGGATCCTAATAAAATACCAAATACCAAATAAAACGTTTGTTTCACCAGAATCCAACTCCTAAATAAGTGTGAGACAGTCATATGAATATGAAAACCCCTTTATCAGATCAATTTAAAAAAGGTCAATATGTAAAATGTATCCTTGATTGTTGTGCTATTTGATGTTTATTGTCAACCTGCCTCATAGACAAACCCCATAGACCGTGTCCGACATCGGTCTTACCCACTACTTACTAAAACTACTGAGTTCTGATCATACAACTTACTATTTAGAATGTAGTCTCGCGAGCCAACCGGATCTCTCACATTAATGTTTCACTACATGGTGACCTGTCTGGTTATTACGAGGCTACTTAGAATGTACAGTCTAGTTAAAATGGATGCAGTATGCCACAAATACTAACATACTAGGCTCACCCACACTGAGAATACATCTTCTAATCTTGGCACAGTGTTTCCACTTAACTTATTGTCAGCTGATTATCAACTGGGTCTGAAGTGACAATTCTCTTCCTCAATAGCATGCAGTGACGTCCTGGCATTTAAAGCATACTCAATATTAGAAATGTCACATACTATAAAACGTTGTATTTTCGCATATCCATCAGCCTACTTGTTAGTTTGGGTAGTCGGACACGGCCAGTGTGTTTTTTCTTATGGTAGAACAACATACCAGACAGTACCCTACATATAGTCGTTTCTCTCTTTTAACCTTTGGCCTAAAGGGTTCTTACACGTTATCAACGTGTGTCGGTTATGCTTCATTGAGTCTCTCAAACCAGTTTTGCCAGTTGAACAATGTACTTAAAAAACCGACAGAATATCACTCGCATGAAAACGTGTTTAGGATTGATGCTGTAGCTGTATCATTCATCTTTGTTTTGTCTCTCCCACTCAACTTAATGCTGTTCTCTCCTGGTTGTGATTGGTTGATTGAGCAGTATGGAGCTCAGGGGCTGATCTAGGATCCCCTGTCCATGTAATCTTATTCATTATGATCTAAAAGGCGAAACTGATCCTAAATCAGCACTCTTACTCTGAGAGGCTTATGGCCCCTGACTTCACAGACAAAGGAAACGACTAACCCTTCTCAGTGCTCTCTCACCCAACTCTCTCTCTCAGCCTCAGAGAGCCCTCACAGTTTTCTTTTATTTTCACTCTTGGTATTCTTACAACCCATTAAGAACTGACCTTGAGTCAGTATGTCTGGTATAATTCATTTCAGATTAGACTTGACAGGACACCGTGCAATCCTGCCAAGACTTGCATAGTGTGAAAGGTAATAAAGCTGTAGGATTTTGTAAACCATGTAATGTGAAGCAAGCTTTAAAGCCATTACTAACTTATCATTTCTCTGTACAGCCATTAGGCATGAGAGTCAAGCACATAAGGACATTTGAAGGATTTTGAAAATGGTGTAATGTGAAAGAAGCTTTATCATGTCAGCCACAATGTCACTCAAATGTGTATGTGATGATAGTGGCTGGTTCTCTTTGGTTTCATCTCGGCAGTGGATTCACCTCCACTCAAAATCAATTTGCAATTCAGATCACTGTCTCCTCCTTTGCTCTTTAGTGTGCAGACAACTTTACACAATAGGTTATTCACTGGTGACTTTGTCTGGATTTTGGTGACTTCAAAAATCTCATATGGTGGAATTAAAAATTATTTCTCTTCAGGAAAGGCTGAGTAAGAAGTTAGCTCAGCGCCAAAGCAAGTGTGGGTCTCAAAGCAAGACACATTCCCAAAGTTGGTTAAGTCGGATCTCAAAGAGCTTGTGGCGAAGGTGCCGAAACGGATCTCGTGGTTGAGAACACTCAGATCAAACTTCTTGTTGGTTCTGTGAAAGGCTTCCTTACATGCCCCTTGTCTTTCTCTAAGAATCTGAATGGCATCAGTCAGGTAGAAATGCAGTGCATGGTACTTGAATGACGTCATGTATGCAGAATTGCCCTCTTGAACTGCTTTGTTAAAGTCCAGGTAGATCGATTTGGAATTCAGTCTGGGTAGATGTTTTGCGTACAAATAGATAGCAGTGGAATGCTCTGTTTTCAAAAGGTCTCCATGTGGTATAGCATGTGGTTTTGCCATGTTCCAGGATGTGTTGAATTGAGGATTAGGGTTTAACTCATTGTAGAGGTACATGTTTTCAACCTCCATTAACATTAGACCTCTGCAACCATCATATTTGTCATCAACAGAAGAACGGACCATGTCTAGAGGTAGAATCTCTTGCATCCCTCCATCTTGAATCCCTCCATTCTGAGTTTCTCCATCCTGTAACGGTGACATTTTTTGGAAACGTTTCCATTGATTAGACTTATGGCAACCTGTTCTACAGTTTGGAAACGTTTCCATTGATTAGACTTATGGCAACCTGTTCTACAGTTTGGAAACGTTTCCATTGATTAGACTTATGGCAACCTGTTCTACAGTTTGGAAACGTTTCCATTGATTAGACGTATGGCAACCTGTTCTACAGTTTGGAAACGTTTCCATTGATTAGAATTATGGCAACCTGTTCTACAGTTTGGAAACGTTTCCATTGATAAGACTTATGGCAACCTGTTCTACAGTTTGGAAACGTTTCCATTGATTAGACTTATGGCAACCTGTTCTACAGTTTGTAAACGTTTCCATTGATTAGACTTATGGCAACCTGTTCTACAGTTTGGAAACGTTTCCATCGATTAGACTTATGGCAACCTGTTCTACAGTTTGGAAACGTTTCCATTGATAAGACTTATGGCAACCTGTTCTACAGTTTGGAAACGTTTCCATTGATTAGACTTATGGCAACCTGTTCTACAGTTTGGAAACGTTTCCATTGATTAGACTTATGGCAACCTGTTCTACAGTTTGGAAACACTCATCTACTGTAGGGGCAAATGTTGACAATTGAATATGTAATATATTTTTGTTTTATTTATTTGATTAAAATGTTAAATATCTCACCTTTGATTTGGGAATGCCGAAGATCAAAGCAAAGATTACCATCAAAACAAGCAGAAAAATAACAGAAAAGGTGATTGTCTTCTTTGTGTGTAGGTCACAGTGGCGGCTCCTGAAAAAATTCTCAGGGGGGGCAATTTTTCTGATGATTTAGGTGACCTACACACATTTTAAAAAAGATATGTCCAGCAACAACATGAAGACAGGGGCAGCATATAAGTCAATACCAGAAGCATTTATTGACTGATCTCAAAAGTGTTGGCTTACCAGGGTTGGTGGAGCCCTCAGTTTCATCTTTGCCTCGCAAAGCTAACTCAAACACTCCGCAAAACTTCACACACTGGATTAGCCGGCTGAGGATGTGGCGGTTCTTGCTAATGTCGTAGTAAATATATTTGTTATAGTGAATATGGAATATGATATGTTGAGTAAAATGTTGTGCTAAGATCTATTTAGGTCAGGAGCTGGTTATAAGTTCTGTTCCTATCCAATAACAATGGACAAAAGGGTCCTATCTTGTCAGCCTTGTCAGCAGGTGGCCAAGGACAACACCCACGCCATAGGCCTCTCAGTTCTTCCAACTCACGAGTTCTTGCTCTGAGGACACACACACACACACACACAAACACACACACACACACATCATCACTGTTAAACACACACACACACACACACACACATCATCACTGTTAAACACACACACACACACACACACACACAAAATCCCCTCTCTTAGGCTGAACATTTGAAGACAGAGAACCCGACTCAGAGCCAATGCAACAGTGACAGTAGCCTGGAGGGGACCTCGCCCAACTCATCAGGACCAATCAGAAGATCAGAACTACTAGATTCAACCTACTTCATTTATTGCATAAAATGTCTGCACACAATGTTTCGGGGCTCTCTTCAGATAATAATAATAATAATAATAATATGCCATTTAGCAGACGCTTTTATCCAAAGCGACTTACAATCATGCGTGCATACATTTTTGTGTATGGGTGGTCCCGGGGATCGAACCCACTACCTTGGCGTTACAAGCGCCATGCTCTACCAGCTGAGCTACAGAAAGTGGATACTCATGGATGCGCATCGCAATTGTAAAATGTCAACACAATTGGAGACACCACGTCATTTTTGGAGACATGTTATTGACAGTAAACTATTGTAGATGCGACTGCTAACTAAATAAAACATTTTAGCTGGCTAGCTAATCATCTTAGCTAAATGTGGGGCAAACAATTCAGTTATTTACCGTTAATTTGAGGGATTGGGGTGAAAGAAATCGAGTTACATAGTGATACTTTACGATATACTGTATTGACAATATCGCAATATTTTAGCGCTAGTTGGCTGTACCTGCACCAAAACACCATTATTGTTCCTTCATAGCTTGTTCTCAATCTTTTCACATTGGGAGCCAATTTGTTTTCAGCACTTTTATTTCCATGACTGATCAAAACTCGTTCTCATGGCTTTCTGATCCCTCTGCAACAGACATATGGTGCGCAATAAAATCACAGTATCGAATCGCAATACGTATAGAATCATGAGACTCGCAATGCTGATGCATATATCTTATCGTGAGGTTCCTGGCAATTCCCAGCCCAAGTTCATTTGCCACAACAAATCTCTTCGCTAGCAAACGCGATGTCTTCTCCAAAACGGCAATGTGTCTCCAGCAATGTTTACTTTTTTGACGTTCTATGGCATCTCCACTTTCCAAGCATATATGACCACATGTAATATTTTGGTAAGTGATGCAAGTAGTGAACTATGTAGGGCCAGGATGTAAAATATATGTAGCTGCAGCAATTTCTCTTATCTGATATGGTAAGTAATGGGGCTTAATTTATAGCTCCCTAAGAGTTTGACGAACGGGTCCGTGCACGCGATTCCAGATATCTTTACCTCTGAATAAACTGCCTTTATTATACCATATCCACCCTGTCCAAAGTCTCTACTTGGTCTCAGTTCTCCAGTAAACTTGTGATTATCAACACTAACCTCATCGTTGTGGCGGCGGACAGCTAGCCTGTATCCCTCATCAAGTTGAGTGGCAATGTTATTTTTCCGTTCGTACCAATTTTTGGAAAATCCTCGGGTGTAGGACTTTCCGCCTTTAGTAGAAACCTGTTGAATTATTACATTTGGTCTGGGAGGTCCTAATTGTTTCGTTGCCAATTTATCTTCATTTGTTCGCCGACAAAAATGAACTTCTTTCAAAGACACAATCCGCTCTTTTCTCAGTTACGTTCATGGTTACGTTACGTTACGTATGACGAAAGCGCGTAAGTGCAAGCCCTCAGACACCCATAGAGATTGTATTGAAGGCTCTGAAATTTGAAAAAAATAGATTTTACATTAGAGGCTATGAGAGACTTCTGGGCGATTTTCAACCTGACTGAAATCGCCCAAAAAGGGGGGGGAGCCATTTGAAGCACGACTTTAGCCTGATTCGACATTTAGTGGCAGTGTGGCACTGTGGCAGATCAGACGTATAGATTACAACACTGATAACTACTGTTGCCGTGATATAATTGATTAGAAAAAAAATCCCTTCCTTTTCCCGTTTGGCAGTGCGTCGCCCATATCGCCCTATTGAACAGGCCGCCCCTGGTAGGTCATGTGATTTCCATCTAATTACGTGAAAGAAGGAAGTAGAAGGGGACAGTTAATTTCAACAAAAAACCAGGTCTGTGTTCGAATACCCATACTACCATACTGTATACTACATACTTAATGAGTATATACTACATACTATTAGTTAATTTTAGTATATTGTAAACGAACGGTATCCTTACAGCTGAGTGTACTAGAACTTCGCCTGTCTACCGGAAGTTGATGCTGTTGCTGTGCAAGTTCTTGCTAGCTTGTTAGCATAACAAATGACTGGCTAGACATCTTACGACTTCATTAACAATGTTCATTGAGAACGCACAACGACTATTCCACTTAGCTAAGCTAAGAAGGACGTGAATAATAAAGTCAATAGACGTTGGGAAGTTAGTTAGATAGCATATAGTTAATATACTGGCAAGTTCGATGTATTAGTAGCCAACCAACGTTAGGTAGCTAGCTAACATACCAGTACATACAATCAACTGCTGTAATGATATGCTATGCGGTTCGTAAGGCTAGCGTACCTAAGAAATTGTCACCCAACATAACATGTAACGTCACTTATTTCAAAAGGCATTACATTATTACATTGCTCAACATTTTCTTAACATTTGTCGTAATAAGTTAAAGCAATGAATTTCTATCCACTCTCGTCAGACTTCAGCTGCATATTTTCTGCTATTTTCTTAAAATCTGAAAATGCTGTGAAGCCACGCCCATTCTCTGAAGAATTGCATTATGGGCCCCAAAAGTACGGAAATAGTGTCCACTGCTTGTTTACTTTGTATTTTGGCGAATGTAGTACGACATCAGGGAACTTTTGGCATACTAAATATATTCATACTATGACGAATAGGCATACTACATACTCCATTTACATCACAAATAGTATGGTTAGTGCGGTTAGTATGAGTATTCGAACACAGCTCAGGTCTTACTGTGCCTGCTCCAAAGATATTGATATTAAGAGGTAGAATTGGAAGAACTTGAAATTAAATTAAATGTAAATGTGACATTTGTAATATCTGCCATCAAATGTATTTGTTCTCGCTAGTTAGTCACTTTTACGTATCACTCATAAGTTAGTGTTATACTCTGTGAGAGGGCAAAGTTACTACTATTATCATTCTTTAATCACTTTTCAGTGTCTTTTGCACGTGAAATAATCTGTAGAAAACTGGGTGTACAGGTGTTATGTACATATATTACATTCTTACCTGTTACTTCAGTTCTGGTCACTCAATGTTAAGGTATCCTTTTTTGTGAGGCCAAGTTATGAGCAAAACCTCTTAATCCTCTTCTTTTGTGTTTTCTGTTGTTATGTCAATTCGCATAACAGGTTTTGTTTTTATGGATCCACCCTTGTATGACACATCACTGGTGTTTCTGGTCCTTGTTGACTTTAGCCCTGAGTACACCTTGCATTACAGTTCTAGCACATGTAAAAGGGGAAACACTGATGTGTCACATGGGGTAAAAACCTGAAGCATCCGGTGGGGGTTTCCACTCACTACCAAATATGGTGATGAGAGGAAGCCCAGTGGCCAGCAGTGGGAGAAGATGGAGCGAGATGAAACTGGGCCAACATTCTGCTCATTTCTTAATATATGAAACATTTGATCTCAATACAGTTTTCTGTTCCCAAAACTAGAATATGTTACGAACAGAATGCACTAAATTATGTATTCTTGACCATTTGAGAAAGTTCCTAAAAATGGCATTATTTAGAAGGAGTGCAAGGTCAAATTAAAGTTGTTACACATGCACACTTCAGAGAGGAGATAGATGAGTTTAGATGTGTGTTCTAATACAGTCTAGGTAGATAGGTTTAGGTTAGTTCTGTGTTCTAATACAGTCTAGGTAGATAGGTTTGGGTTAGTTATCTGTGTTCTAATACAGTCTAGGTAGATAGGTTTGGGTTAGTTATCTGTGTTCTAATACAGTCTAGGTAGATGGGTTTGGGTTAGTTATCTGTGTTCTAATACAGTGTAGGTAGATGGGTTTAGGTTAGTTATCTGTGTTCTAATACAGTGTAGGTAGATGGGTTTGGGTTAGTTATCTGTGTTCTAATACGGTCTAGGTAGATAGGTTTGGGTTAGTTATCTGTGTTCTAATACAGTCTAGGTAGATGGGTTAGTTATCTGTGTTCTAATACAGTCTAGGTAGATGGGTTTGGGTTAGTTATCTGTGTTCTAATACAGTGTAGGTAGATGGGTTTAGGTTAGTTATCTGTGTTCTAATACAGTGTAGGTAGATGGGTTTGGGTTAGTTATCTGTGTTCTAATACAGTCTAGGTAGATAGGTTTGGGTTAGTAATCTGTGTTCTAATACGGTCTAGGTAGATAGGTTTGGGTTAGTTATCTGTGTTCTAATACAGTCTAGGTAGATGGGTTAGTTATCTGTGTTCTAATACAGTCTAGGTAGATAGGTTTAGGTTAGTTATCTGTGTTCTAATACAGTCTAGGTAGATGGGTTTGGGTTAGTTATCTGTGTTCTAATACAGTCTAGGTAGATGGGTTTGCATTAGTTATCTGTGTTCTAATACAGTCTAGGTAGATGGGTTTGGGTTGGTTATCTGTGTTCTAATACAGTCTAGGTAGATGGGTTTGCATTAGTTATCTGTATTCTAATACAGTCTAGGTAGATGGGTTTGGGTTAGTTATCTGTGTTCTAATACAGTCTAGGTAGATGGGTTTGGGTTAGTTATTTGTGCACATACAGTAGTGTTCCCTTCAAACCACAAACACTAAAGCCCAAGGCACAAACACACAAGGACACACTAGAATATAATAGAACATCTTCATTGTCCATTTAAATATTTCATAAAATATTATAAATTTGATCAAATGTGGAATGATACCAGTCATCAGTCAATCATCAGGGTGACTTCTGACTACAGTTTATCACTTTCCCACTAACAGGTATATTTTTTGTGATATTTTCCCCCTCAGAACCCTCACTAAAGTTTGAGGCCCTCTTGAAGGTGTGACACAGTCATCATCAGGCTGAATTTGGTGCAAACCACAACACAAACAAACAACCTGACAAAGATAAATGTCATTCATTTTCCCAGATGTAACTATGCAGGTGTCATCATTACTGTATAAGATATTCATTGTATTTTCCATCTCTTAGAGATATTGTGTTTAATATTTGTGTCAAAGCAACAGTTAATGTAAAACACCAGTTTAGTCAGTAGGTTGTTATGACGGTTCACTGCCACCCTATGGCCTCTGTTGTCTCTGCTAGCCAACATGATGGCTGCTGAAAGCTTCTTGGTAACTGAGTCACTCCTCATCTCTCTTCCAACCCCACTCATGAGGTTGGCCACGTTCCAGGCTGACTACATTGAAGTTGCCTGCCAGATGTCACATCTCTTCGATAGATGTTTAACATATCAGCTAACCAAATCATATGCTATAGCAATCTGATGCCCAACAGCACAGTCGATGACTTGGCCAGCAGCCATGTCTTAATGGCTGCAGCCTGTCTTCAAAATAGTCGGCCTGGAACGAGACCGTTCATCCTCGGTGTGGTTGATAAATTGAGCAGTATTGAGCTCTGACTTCACAGACACAGGAAACTACTAACCCTGCTCCTGCTCTCCCTCCCTCCCATCTCCCTCTGACCTCACAGACACAGGAAACTACTAACCCTGCTCCTGCTCTCCCTCCCTCCCATCTCCCTCTGACCTCACAGACACAGGAAACTACTAACCCTGCTCCTGCTCTCCCTCCCTCCCATCTCCCTCTGACCTCACAGACACAGGAAACTACTAACCCTGCTCCTGCTCTCCCTCCCTTCCATCTCCCTCTGACCTCACAGACACAGGAAACTACTAACCCTGCTCTCCCTCCCTCCCTCCCATCTCCCTCTGACAGTTTCCTCTTCTCTTATCACTCTGGTTACTATTTAACTCTTTGGCCTCAAGTTCATTTCAAAGCCATAACTAAGTTTAATTTCTTTGTACAACTATGTTGAATAATGGTAAAGATTGACCATGTTAGCCACAATCTCACTCAGATGTGACGATTGAAGCTTCAGGTTTCATTTGTCAAGATCTTTGAATCTTTCCTTAAATCTAAATCTCTTTGTAGTCCATTCTAATTGCAACCTGAGAACAAACTCATTTTCTTCAAGTGAGATGAAATTCAGCTCTTTATAACTGATATACAGGTAGTGGATATATAGGACATGGGATGTAATAATGTTCAATGTTTTTATTTATTCAACATAAGCTGGAGTGCGCATGCTAAAAATATAATCAAATGACAAATTAATTAATTACATTCAATTTCAATCTATTACCGTACATTATATTATTTCCAAAAATCTTAATCTGAGAAAGTAATGCGTGTTTAACCATTTAACAGGATCGTTACACCTGAGAGCTGAGAAAGATACCTTTGTTTCCTTTGATTACTTCTCCTTGTACATTGGTGGGAGGAATGATCAGTAATATACAGAACATAATTAAATATCATTACGTAGCCTGTATCGGCTGTTCTGCTAATTGTGATAAAATTTAAAAAATGAACTGCTTTTCTGATTTATTTTGGCACCAATATGCATCTCTTACGAACTCTATTGCTCGCTAGTGTGTAGACGACTTCACAACACAGTTTATTCTCTGGTGACTTCGTCTGGATGTTGGTCACTGTGAATACCTCATAGGGAGGAATTAAGACTTCTCTCTCTCCAGTAAATACAGAGTAATATGATATGTCAGCTCCAAAACATGTGGAGATCTCAAAGCAGTACATCGCTCCAAATGAATCTCTGCCTATTCCCCTGCCTACAGTGCTCAAGGTGAAGGTGCCGAAATCGATTTCTTTGATGACAACGTTCTGATCAAATTACACTTTGGTTCTATGATAGGTGGTAATAGTGCTTTTTGAGGTTGGTTCGGTTTCAGTTAGATTATTTAAAAAAATAACTGATTTCGGTTTTGATTATTTTTTAAACATTAAATACACTATTAAATACACTAAGGCTTGAATTCTGTAAAAACACAGAATAAAACAATTAATAAAAGTCCCATGATAGTAGTGACTGCCCATTACTGCTTATCACTTATTAACCATCATTTATTCACATTTCTTTAATAAAATATTTCAGTTGTTGTGTATGTTACATTTCTTTTATTTGATGACTTTATTCTTTCATACCAAATAATCATCTCATCTCTACAGAGCTGCTGCCTATGCTGTCTGACAAAATCACTATTTTAGTTTTGTAAATATATGAACACTTGTAGTGGCTTCCTTTCCTCTTTACCATAGCCACTGCCCTAGCCTGAAGCGGGGTTGTTTCGGACGCATACAGTCCACACTCAACGTTTCCAAACGACCAAACATTCAATGAGATCCAGGGATATAGTGCAACAAAAAATGTTTATTCTTCTTATCTAACAAAAAGGTATTCTCCAATCAACTTAAAGCAGAGATTACTTGAAATGCAAATACATAATATAATATGACCTGTCTGTCTGTATTTCTGTATGTCTATATGGTCAAAAAACTATACCGCTCCCGCATCTAGCAAGGACTCCTCCCCCCGAAGGCCCAACTTCCTGCCTTTATACTAACACAATTAACACAGTACAATGAATGGGCAAGAGGGGGGGCCAAAAACTGAGTTACACTAATAACAAATGAATATATCTCAATCCGGTAAATAAATCATAAAGGTACGTACCTAATATTTCATCATATACATTAATATTTAATATATTTACACAAATATACATGGAGCTCAGTATGTTCAGTCTTTTATACAAAATATGCCCAAATCGGCTCTAACATACCGGCCCCTAATTGTTGACTGCACTGAATGCACAACAATTACTTAATATTCAAACGTAGAGCCAATACAAAAACATTCTATACCAGAGCACCATTACAGTTCATAGCTATATACAAATATACAAGGTGCCATATAGGAAAATAGTCCATAGATCTCAGTCTGAGTTGAAGTGTAAAGGTGTTCAACTTCCAAAAAATGTCAAGAGTTTGACGTCCACAAAATGTATGACATCAAAGAATGTAAGAGTACGACATCAACGAATCAGAGGTGCACGTGATTCAAAGATGGAGCACTGTGTGTGTGTGTGTCTCACTTCGTCGCCTCAAGGAGCAGACAGAGTTTATTGATAGGTCTCTGTAGGATATTGGTCTTAGTCTTAACCATGACGCTCCGGACAAGACCTTTGGCCCCTGGCAAAGCCTTCACCACACACCCCATTAGCCAAGAGTTCCTTGGGGCGGTGTCATCGACGATGACCACAAGGTCACCAGGACTGAAGTTTCTCTTAGTTTTGTTCCACTTGTTCCGCTCCTGCATAAGTGGAAGATACTCCCTGATCCATCTCTTCCAGAAGAGGTCAGTGATATATTGTACTTGCTTCCATCTCCTTCGTGAGTATAGGTCACTTCTCTGGAATAGTCCTGGTGGCAGGACTGGCTTTGCTTTCAGATGAAGCAGATGGTTCGGAGTCAGGGGTTCTAGATCGTTAGGGTCATTTGTTACAGTAGTGATTGGTCTGTCGTTCATAATCGCCTCAACTTCACACAAGGCTGTCTGCAAAGCCTCATCATCCAGTACTTGCTCTTTAAGGACTGAATAGAGGATCTTTTTCACCAGTCGGATCAACCTCTCCCATACCCCCCCATGGTGGGCTCCAGAGGGAGGGTTGAATGACCATGTCACTCCTTCCTTCAGTAATTTATTTTGAATCTTGTTGTGATCCAGCTCTTTCAGAGCTTCTCCTAGCTCTCTGTGTGTTCCAACAAAGTTGGTGCCATTGTCTGTTCTGATACTTGTTACTGGGCCCCTTCGACAGATGAACCTGCGCAGGGCATTGATGCAGGAATCAGTATCCAGATAACTAGCAACTTCTAGATGGACAGCTCGACTCACAAGGCAAGTAAAGATCACACCATACCGCTTCACATGAACGCGGCCTCGCTTCACCTCTATGGGGCCAAAGTAATCTATGCCCACATGGGTGAAAGGCGGCAAATCAGGTGCTACCCGATCTTGTGGAAGGTCAGCCATCTTCTGTTCCCCAGCTCTAGCTTGCATCTGCCTGCAGAAGACACAGCTCTTAAGGATCTTCCTTGCTAAGGAGTTGGCACAGGGTATCCAATATCGCTGGCGAAGTCTAGAAAGCATGTGACCTCTCCCAGAGTGGCCAACCTGCTCATGGATGTGGAGTAAGATCAGTCTGGAGATGTAGGAGTCTTTGGGCAGGATCATAGGATTCTTTAGTTCCGTAGGCATAGCAGCTTTGCTTAACCTTCCTCCTACTCTCAGAATGCCATTGTCAACTATTGGATCAAGCTTACAGATTGAGCTGCTTCTCTTGGCACATTGTTTTCCTTTTACAACTAGTGCAATTTCTTGTTTAAAGTGCTGTCGTTGCTCAAATCGAATGATGACCTTTTCTGCTTCATCTAGGTCATCTACAGACAGACTTTCTTTTCCAAACGTCAGTTTGAACTTGTCAATTTGTTCCTTCAGTGAGTTTGTCAGACTCTGATCTGATCCTGGATCAGTTTGGGTAAGAACTTTCCTTTTCTGGCTTAACTGTAGTAGAAGTCTCTTCAGTTTCAGCATCCAGGCAACTGCTTTCTTCAAGCTGTTCCATGTTGAATAGTACTCAATCAGTTTGCTGGTCGGACTCTTTTCTTCCACACATGTACTGTTTACGATGACGTCTTTTCTCACCTCTGGATCATCTGGAGGGATGGAGCCAAGCTCCTCGGGGACTTTCGGCCATTGTGTTTCTGTTTTCTCCAGGAATTCTGGTCCTTTGCGCCATCTCTTTGAGTTCAGGAAAGTTTCAACATGTAATCCTCTTGAGGCATCATCGGCTGGGTTGTGTTTGGAGTTCAAATACCTCCACTGTTTTGCTTTCGATAGGTCACGGATCATAGCAACCCTATTAGCCACAAAAGTATGGAATCTCTTGGTATCGTTGCGGATGTATTTTAGCACCGACTGGCTGTCTGTCCAGAAAGTTGACTCCTCAAGTTCAATCTGGAGCTCCAACCTTAACATCCTGTCCACTCGCACTGCCAATGTTGCTGCAGCAAGTTCCAGTCTGGGGATCGTCATCTGCTTGAGTGGAGTCACCCTTGATTTCCCCAGTATGAATGCGATGTGGACCTTTTCCATAACGTTTGTGAACCTAAGGTAGCTTGCCGTGCCATAACCTTGTTCACTTGCATCACCGAAGTGATGCAGCTGTGCGGTCTTGATTTGACCAAAGTTCTCCGGCATCATACACCTGTTGATCTGGAATCTGGAGAGCTGGTCCAGCTCTGAGAGCCATCTCTTCCATGAAATAGAGTGTTCTTCAGGGATGACTTCGTCCCATCCACACTTTAGCTTGCAGAGCACTTGAAGAATTTGCCTTTGCCTTTAATACGAATGGGGCGAGGAAACCTAATGGATCATAAATAGAGCTGACAGTTGAGAGAATACCTCTTCTTGTAAGGGGTCTGTTCTTGACAGTGACCTGGAAGGTAAACACATCCCTTTCAATGTTCCATCGGATTCCAAGTGCTCTTTCAACAGGCAGCTTTTCTCTGTCCAGGTCCAGTTCTTTTATCTGCTTGGCTTTGTGTTCATCAGGGATAGAAGCTAGTACAGTGCGGCTGTTGCTGACCCACTTGGTCAATTTGAACCCACCTTGAGAGCACACATCCCTGAGGTTTCTTGTGAGAGCTATGGCTTGTTCTTCTGTGGCCACTGACTTGAGGCAGTCATCAACATAGAAGTTGGACTTGACTGTTTGAATCACCTCTTCATCGTACCCCTCACAGTTGTCTTCTGCAGTCTTTCGCAGTGCAAAGTTTGCACAACTTGGAGAGGATATAGCACCGAAAAGATGTACTGTCATTCTGTACTCCTCCAATCTTTTGTTAGTATCACCATCCGGCCACCATAGGAATCGCAGGAAGTCTAAGTCATCTTCATGGACACGTACTTGATGGAACATTCCTTCGATGTCTGCCATCATGGCAATGTGCCCTTGCCGAAATCTTAGCAAGACTCCTATAAGCGTGTTTGCCAGGTCAGGGCCTTGAAGGAGTTCACTGTTAAGAGATGTACCTTTATAGGATGATGAACAGTCAAACACCACTCGTATCGTTCCTTTGCGCTTATGGTGAACGCCGTGGTGTGGTATGTACCATACCTTGCCTTTCTCTCTGAGGAGCTGTTCTTGTGGTACCTTCTCGGCGTAACCTTTTGTTATCATCTCTTCCATGAAGCCTTTGTACTCTGCAGCGTAACCTTTGTCCTTCTTGAACTTCCTGATAATATTTAGAGCCCGCTGCTTTGCCATGTCACGGTTGTTTGGCAGGACTACATCTTTGTTGCGAAAGGGCAACGGTAAGTAGTAGTGATGGTCTTTGAGGGTTATGGAGCTTGATACTATCTCCATAAACCTATGATCCTCAGCTGACATCTCACTTTTCTCTTCATACTCTCTCTCAGGGAAGTCATGGTTGTACCGATTTACAAGAAGAACCCCCAGGTCGGCCATTGAGATACGATTGGCCATCACCGTAGGACGCCCGGATTCTTCTGCCATGGTACAACTGTTGAGAGGACCATTCATCACCCATCCAAAGAGGGTTTTCACTGCATACGGTCCGTTGCCTTGGCTATTTATGATTTGCCAGGGTTCCATTGCCTTTGGAGCATTTACGCCAATCAGAAGTTCGACGTCAGCATCAATCTCCTTCAACTGAACCTCTTTCAGGTATGGCCACCTTTTGAGCTCTTTCTGAGTGGGAATGTTCTCTCTTGTCACTGGGATCTTATGTTGGGTGTAGACCTTTGGTAATGCAAGAAATGTGTCGCCTTCCACATTGCCAATCTCTAATCCAGATATCTCAAAGCTCTTGGTAGGACTCTCCTGCCCCATTGTGCGTAGCAGAATTTCAGTCGCACTGCCTTTAGCTTGCAACTGCCTCATGAGTCTCTCCGTACAAAATGTTGCTGAGCTACCAGAATCGAGAAACGCATAGGTTAACACAGACTTGCTTCCATTTGCCACCTTTACTTGAACTGGCACAATTGCAAGTGCACAATCTGTACCGGCCCCGGTATCTTCACCAGCTTCCAGTGAAACAAGAGCACTGCTGACAGTCTCCTCCCGCTTTACTGCTACACCACTCATATCTGCCTTTTGAGATCTAAATCTCTCTCTTCCTTCAATGTGCAGGATAGTGGGGTGCTTTCTTTGACAGCTCTGACAGGTCATCCTTCTTTTACATTCTCTGCTTAAGTGTCCTTTCATCAAACAGCCAAAACAAAGGCCTTTTGATCTCAGAAACTCAACCTTGAATTCATGTGGCTGTGCCTTCACCTGTTGGCAGTCGACCAATAAATGCGCACCAGCACAAAATATACATGAGATACTGGGAGCATCAGAAGGGTAGGTGCCTGGTCTCTTTACTTTGAATGTTTGTTCTTTTAAAGGTTTTTCAGAGTCACAATCTGCCACTACAGCTACTGTAGTGGCAAAGCTGCTTCCCCTACTCTTGGACTTGAACTGCTGTTTAAAGTCAGCTTCTGTTTTGGGTTTTAAAAACCTTTTGTTGTACAGGGGATCTTGAATATCTCCATACAACGGATCCTGCAGTATTTTGGCCTGTTTTTCCATGAACGTTACCAGGTCACTGAACTGGGCCCTCAGGTGACTTCTCTCTAAAATATCACATGCCATAGACCTCCATTTTTCCCTTAGTTTGTAGGGAAGTTTTGACATGATCAGCTTTATGTTGGAGGGAAGATTAAGCTCTTCCATGTTCTGTAGGTCTTGCATAGCGTTACAGCAACCTCTTAGATAGAGTGCATAACCACCCAGTCCCTTTCCATCATCGGGTTTGATGTTTGTCCAGTTCCAAGCCTTTTCCATGTAAGCAGTGGTGACTTTGATTTCATTGCCAAAGTGTTCCTTTAACAACCTCTTAGCTACTGCATAGCCTCTTCTGGCTTCCATATGCAGACAACTACGGACCAGATCCTTGGGCTGACCAGAGGTGTATTGTTCCAGGCAATAGAGCCTATCCTGGTGACTGCTTGTCTTATCTTCTATACCATGCTCAAATGCACGCATGAATGGCCTAAAGTTTAGAGGATCACCGTCAAACATAGGTATCTCCCTAACAGGGAGTGTGGCTTGTTTGTGCTGTAGTACAAGGAGGTCAGCAATTTCATTCTGCCTTTGCATGACAGTAGAGAGGTTATCATGGCTGGTATTATGGCTGATACCCGCAGTGTTGATTCTGTGTCGATTGCTAGACCTTGCTGTTGGCTGCTGAAGAGTGTGGTTTACGACTGTTTTCGGAATAGGGTTTGATGGCTTTGTGGTCGCTTGTTGTAAAACTCTTTGTAGTGGGGTCTTTGGAACTGCACCTAATGCAGCAAACTCAACAGGTGATGGTTCAGGTTCCACATAGACCTCTGGTTCCTGTTTCTCAAAATAAGAGTTCATTCCATCTTCTTGGCTTAGTAAATGGGCTGCCACAGAATGGGATTGAGAAGTTGACTCGGTACTCTCCAGGACCTTCAGTTTGGCATTATATGCTGCTATGTCCGTTTCCAGTGCCATTTTTTCCATCCTAACATTCAGTTGAGCTTTCTCCAGTTCCAATGCATGCTTGTCTTGTAATGATGCTTGGCGAGCTAGTAGAGCTGCTCGTTCTGCCTCGGCTTTAAGGCGTTCAGAGGACACTGAGGAAGCAGTCTTAGAATACTTAGTTTTACTTGATATTTTTGACACATTGGAAATGCTGTCATGTGGTTCAATGAGCGTTTGTGGCTCAACTTCAGCCCTTTTCCATATTTCCACCTCTTTCAGGAAATGTTCATAAGTTCTCATTCTTGGTTGATAATAGTTAATGCTCTCCTGTTCCTGTTCCTCCTCTGTGACCAGCTCTAGCACAGATTCATGAGCCTTCTTAAAGTCATTGAGCACAGCATCAAATGCTTCAAGACTCTCATTCACAGTTGCAATGTTTCCTCCATCAACAAGAAGGACTTTTATTTCATTCATTTTGCGTGTACACACTCCAAGTTTGCCTCTCCGGGCTGCATAGAGTGAATTTAGATGCTCCTCTGCCCTCTCCAGTGGAGTCTTATTTGGGATTTCCTCCTCCATCATTCACTTTTAGTTCACTCAATTTACAATGACACGGTTGTTGGTTTGATTGTTAAACGTAATGCCCCTTTAGACCTCCTTTAATCTTTTAAAAACACAGTCATCCATTTCAGCATATTGACCCATTTTGAATTGCACATGTGCAAGTTTGGCATTTTAGATGCGTTTTAAACATTTCATCCCGTTGAGGTTTTGTCCCTTTAATGAAGTTTTAACACGCAGTATCTTTAGATCCTTAAGTTGCATTCGTTGCGTTGATGGATTGCATTTCCACGTTAGGCCAAATATTAGATATATGATTAGGCTACATTGTGCATAGGATCTGTGTTTCCCAAACTTAAACTTCTTAATTGTTTTCACAGCGCTGTATTTTGAATTCCATTCCCAAGTTTATCAAACGTTCCAATTATAAGCACATTTGCGCTTCCATAATATGCATGATCAAACGATCGCCTTGAACAGGGCAGCTCATTCATTCGCAGTGGTTACTCACGGCTGGCGAAATCTAGGAGTTCAAATCCTTCCAAGCGAGCTGTCCTTATGGTCCGAATGCAATTACAAATAGAACAAAATCCAGCGTGTGTCCGAACCGGAGATTTCCTTCCGGTAGTAATCCTTCACGGAGTTTTTTGACTTGATTGTAGTGGCTTCCTTTCCTCTTTACCATAGCCACTGCCCTAGCCTGAAGCGGGGTTGTTTCGGACGCATACAGTCCACACTCAACGTTTCCAAACGACCAAACATTCAATGAGATCCAGGGATATAGTGCAACAAAAAATGTTTATTCTTCTTATCTAACAAAAAGGTATTCTCCAATCAACTTAAAGCAGAGATTACTTGAAATGCAAATACATAATATAATATGACCTGTCTGTCTGTATTTCTGTATGTCTATATGGTCAAAAAACTATACCGCTCCCGCATCTAGCAAGGACTCCTCCCCCCGAAGGCCCAACTTCCTGCCTTTATACTAACACAATTAACACAGTACAATGAATGGGCAAGAGGGGGGGCCAAAAACTGAGTTACACTAATAACAAATGAATATATCTCAATCCGGTAAATAAATCATAAAGGTACGTACCTAATATTTCATCATATACATTAATATTTAATATATTTACACAAATATACATGGAGCTCAGTATGTTCAGTCTTTTATACAAAATATGCCCAAATCGGCTCTAACAACACTATTGCGACTATGAACATAGTTAATAGCTTTTTGTAGCAGTAGCCATTATCTATTGCTTTACAATTCAGGTCACTCTTCCATTTTCCAGTGCTCTTTAGAGTGTAGACGACTTTACACCACAGGTTATTCACTGCTGACTTCATCTGGATGTTGGTGACTTTGAATACCTCATAGGGAGGAATCAAAACTTCCCCCTCGTTTGCATAGGCAGAGTAATATGTCAGGTTAACACCAAAACATGTGTTGATCTCAAAGCAGGACGTGTTTCCAAAATCGTATAAGGTCTTATGTATAGAACTTGAGACAAAATAACCAAAGCGCATTTCTTTGTTGACAACATCCTGATCAAAAGTTACATTGGTTCTACGATAGGTGGTCCTACATGATGTTTGACTTTGTTTGAGAATCTGAATGGCGTCAGTTAGATAGAAGTGCAGGGAATGGTACTGGAATGATGTTCCATACCCAAATCTGCCTTCTCTAACTGCTTTGTTGAAGTTCAGGTAGATGGATTCGGATGGAGGTTGGGGTTTGTTATTTGTGTACAAATACATAGCGATGGAATGCACTTTTTGCAGACCATCTTTTGGAGTGGAGGCATGTTTCTCTGCAATGTTCCAGGCTCTTCTGAAGTTAGTGGTGGTGTTCTTCTCATGTGGGAGGAAGTAGCTCTCCACTCTCTTAAAGGCTTCGTCTCTGCAGACATCGTATTTGTCGTCAACAGAATCAGGTGCCATGTCCAGTGGGAAAATCTCCTTCTGTAACAGTAACATTCTTTAGTGACATTCTCCTTACAGACTTAACAGGTCCCTGCTTGGGTGATAAAATGTCTACCGATCCCTTATTGGCCGCAGTTTGTGAGGCCAAATGTGAGGAAAACAATAGTAGACTTGTGTGTTTGTCTGTTGTTTTATGTCAATGTGCAAAATGAAAGTACAAAATAATAGCACCGCTCAAGTCCCAAAGCAGGACGACAAAAATATGATAGACATTTGTTTTTTCTGCATAGCTCAGGGCGTAGTCAAAACAACATTAAGCCTATTCACAGGAATTGCCCATAACATTTAAGGACACTCTTTTCTTGTCAGAAAAAAACAGTCGTGGGACACTATTTTTTAAAATTATGTCAACTTATCTCTGTAAAAGGAGTACTTGTTCAACTTAAAAATATAAATGAACCCTGCTGGTGTTAAATGTAAAGTTGTATGAACTTATACTTTATAATGTAACAAATATGTTATTGCCTCGTTTTGTTAACTCAACTTGATTTCCTGATTTGCCATAATTTATTATAAGCAGGGTAAATCAACTAAACTAGGTAAATGAAATATTAGGTTTGAGGTTGTATTTTTCTTAGGGTACCTGTGTCACCAGTCCAAAGTGAAGACAGAGAATCAAAACCAAGACAGAGATGTAGTTTTTCTTCTTCTCAGTGCTCTTCACATCTAAAGATGAGAACACAACCAGTCAAAGGATGAGAAACATTTCCATTGTGCCTTTACATACAAATAAGTTGCAGCTACATACAAAAAGGTTGTCATTGCTAAAAAATATATCTCACCATCAATTAAGGAATATCCACCACCCATGTTGCAGAAGTTGTTGACCTCAAATCTACAGCATGTTCAAAGTATATAATCAAATAAAGTTAACTCTTATTTCAACAACCCAAGTGATACAACAACAACAAGTGATACCTGTTCCTAAGACTGGAATAAAATATCACATCCTGTCAAATGGAGAAGCACTCACCTGCACTCTGTACTAGTAACTATTGATGCAAGGAGCTCTTCAATCAAACTCTTCTTACAGTGTATCAGTTCTCTCTGTCATCCCAATCATGTGTTTTTTTTATAGCTGTGATAATGACGATCCATCCCATACAGTGACGTTGAGGTCTCGACTAAAAGAGAACCTTAAAGTTACTTTCTCTTTCAATTTGGATAAATCTTTAACTTCACGTTCTTCATTACAATGTAATATATTTATGTGATAGTGAGGTATAGTCATACTAGACACAATGTAGCTCCGATTCTTATTATATTTGGTTACATGTAGCCAGAGGGGGGAATTGTTAAAGGTTACCAGGGTAACTGCATTGGCAGGGAGCGTTAATAGTCTCTAAGCTTTGTCTGCCAATCATGTTTTTAGCTGGTGAGATTCTGACCTCTTGTACCCACAGTGCACCATGTCAAGACGATGATTTAGACAGAATCCCAATTACTCTTAAACAGCTTCATATTGTTGTTTCCTTTACTTTGTTATGTCAGAGTGAGACCCGGATGTTTTCCCCATAGAGAAGCATTACATTCAATTTAATTCATTCATATTGCTTTCATATGGCAAGGTCTTTCAGATCTGTGGTGGTTACAAAGGAAAGAAGGCAAGGACAGGAGACAAGGAAAGGAAGGAAGCAGATTGAGACTATTGGGACGTGACCTTATGGGTGTTTGGTATCACAGCTGCTGACTGTGTTGTGTTTATGGGTGTTTGGTATCACAGCTGCTGACTGTGTTGTGTTTATGGGTGTTTGGTATCACAGCTGCTGACTGTGTTGTGTTTATGCTGGAGTGAAGCAGCTGTAGAGGTAGCACTTAATCCAACATATATATCTGTACAGTGATGTCTGTTTGCACACATCAATACAGGTCACATTCTAACACACACACACACACACACACACACACACACACACACACACACACACTGGACACACTCTTTTGTCTCCATAACACAGTAATATGTCAAATGAATAAACCTTCAGTGTTTGTTCAGGAGAAAGTTTCCATTGATAAAGACTGATGGATTGCTGTCGTTCAGAATGTCAACACGTTGGACACACCCAAACACACATGTACACTCAGTGGATGTTAACAGTTGGCCCTGTGGGTGACTGGGTCCAAACAGTGGGAGGCTAGAGAAGGAGGAGACATTGGCACACACACAATCACAGATTTCTACAGATTCTAAAGTGGGGGTCAATGTTCTCTGAAGAACGCTGGAGAACAGAATGTTGGATGTCTGCATTCCAGCAACGTTCAGCAAACATTCTGATGTGTTTGGATAAAATGGTTCCATTGTTGTACATCTGACCTGTGTCACTAACGTTGTCACTGATGTTGTATTATACCAAGTCAATCAGTATTACTAATGTTGTATCATCTAGCAAAGGTGAAACACATTGATGCTGCTTCCTGGGTTGAGAATTGAGGTCCTGTTTGGCGTA